TCGCACCTGCCCTCCGCGGCGCGGGGGACAAAACGGCTGCCAGCGTCGCAGAGACAGTGACCTGGAGAGCTCTTGGTGTCGCGGGGGCGCACTTGGGCAACCCTGCTAGGTTACATTTTAATCTGTGCAGGGTAGATTCCTTTTTTTGTTTTGTTTTTCAGCGAAGGCAGGGTGAATATTTTATGGCAGTATTTTTCTTGCATGTGTGAGAAAAATGTAAACATGACATTGTAGACCCTCTTTCATGGCTGGTTTCTCAAGGAAATGGAACTCAGTCTTTTTGGAGAACAGGATGTGCCAACCAAGCCCTTATAGCTTTTTATTAGACTTCCATGGATTAACACGAGCTTTAAAAAAATTAATTTATATGTGGTTCTCTCTAAAGAAACTGCAGGCACCGAGATTGTGGTTAAATGCTTGTTGTTATTGATGAGTATTCTGCCTGATAAGATTGGAAATAGCATTGGTTAAGTGGTTTTTGGACAAGGGGAAACCCTTTGATTTGATGCCTGCTTACCAGCAGCGTGTTTTTAAAACTGCAAGGATAAAAAGGTCCAGCAAAACTGCAGAATCATGATGTAGCAGTGCATTCTGGAACAGATTTTATCCATATTTTATTGTTTTGCGATTCATTGGAAATAACCCCTTGAGGTTGCTTTTGGGCCATATTCATTTTTAAATGTGATCAGTTTGTCTTTGTTTCACTTCAGAATGAATCCTTTGAAAATAGGATTCACCTGACATTGTTACGCCTATCACAGTCAATGGTGGCACCTGTGCTTTGTGTATCTGTGACTGAAAAGGTCCAGAATAGAATTGAGCTTACACAGTCTTTGGAGGATAGAGAAAAGATTTTTCTGTTCCTCAGTTGTGTGGAGTGAGAAGCACCCCAGAGTGAGAGGAGTGGGTTTCTTCCACAGGAGACAAATCTGGAACCTTTGGTCCTGGGGCGGTTTTTCGCTGTCATTGCGTTGGTGTGGTGGTTGACTGCCGTCCAAAGTGGAGCCTTACCTCCCTGCAGGGCTGGGTTCCGAGTCACACAGCGTCAGATGTGGCCCGGGGAAGCCCGTGGAGGAGCTGTTGGTTCTTTGCAGTTGTGGTTATGCTGTAGGCCATCTGTGACCAGATGCTGGGAATCGTTTAAAATCTTTCTCCACCTCCCTAATCCAGCCTGTTATGAAGTCAGGCCGACCCTGCTGCAGTGGCTTCAGATTTACTCTCCTGTCCATAGTCTCAACCTTAGGGGGAAGCCTGCCTTGTGTTACTTAATGTGACACAAGCTTCCTCAAGGGCTTCCTGACATCAGCTTATCCTCTACACAGCTGCTAGGATGATTTTCTTCAAGCACTATTTCATCACATCACTCATGGTTTAAGGATATGTAGTGGTTATTGGTAATAGTTGTGTTAAGGTAATTTGTACTTGTCAGATATTCTGCTGTCTTTGACATTGTTTTGGATTTTATGGACTCCTTACTTTGGCCCCTCTGTTACAAACTGATCTTATTCTAAGCTACATTTTTACCTGGCAGCAGGAGAGCCCTTGCTTTTTATCTTCTCAAACGCAGTTCAGAATTTACCTGGTTTAGGGTGCCTGCCTGTAACGCTGTTATTTAGCCCTTTGGAAAATGCAAATACAGACCCATTTTGCGCATCATCTGTTTTTGATGCCTTTGTTAGGAGTTCACTCATCCAGCTATAATTTCGCTGTGAACTAGAGATGATCTTTTGGGTTCTGTGAAAACAAATTTGCTTTTAAAAAGTGGGAAGCTTTTGCCCAGCACTGTAGTCAACTAAACACGATGAACATCTATATTAATATAGTTGAAAAAAAGTGAAATTCCTTTGAGAGGATGCCGTTTGATATTTTCATTCATTAAGTTTACTGGTACATTTTGGGTATACATTATGGTCACATTTATCATTGGGAATTTGTACCTGTACATGATGTATCTTGGTTAATTTTTCCCATTCCCCTGCCCTCCTTATTTACAAAAGCTTTGTTTTCATTTTTCCTTCTTTTCCCATTTTTTTCTTTCCCTTCTCTCCTTCTCCACCCCTCCCCCTCTAGTCATTTGGTTTTTATAGCCATCAGATGAAAACACTTAGGGCTGGATCTGCTGACTGAAGGGACGGCAGGACTGGGACGAGGGGCTTGTGACTGCTGCTGTGGTAGCTTCTCCTCAGTAGTAGGTTTCCTTTTTGACAGAGGGCCTTGGAAGTTCGCGCGTGCGTGCGTGCGTGTGTGTGTGTGTGTGTGTGTGTGTGGCTTTCTAGACATGGTTGGTGTAAAACAGGAGTGTGCAACCCTTGGCTTTGAGCTAGCTGTGGCCCCATGTGACCGTAAGCGGTAGCACTGTGTGACTTGTTGGTCTTAGTGCATTTCAGGGCTCTTGAAGGCGGCGGGTGTGTGGGGACCAGGGAGGCCCGTGGGGGCGGACTCTGCCTGCTGCACCTGCTGCACACAGCCGGTCCCAACCTGCGTGAACCACACATTATGTGCACCTGTGCCACTCAGCGATTACCGGTCCTGCCGTCTCAGCCTCCCTACGTGTGTGCAGACACCTTTCTCGGTCATTAGACTTGGGCAGCAGTTTCCATCGAACCAGACATCATTGTGTTTCCCAAAAACCAGGTCAGATACCTACTAGTTTTATACTTATGTTGCCCACCTTTTAAGGAGTTAAAATATATAAAGACTTTTGTCACTTAACCTACCTTCACTGAATGCTTATATGGGGCTCAGGACACCGTGTATAGAGGCGTTTGTTCAGCAGTAGCCGGTGGGCCACCGGCTAACAGGTTTCCTGAACTCGTTCACTTTATTTTGCCTTTAAGATGTTTCTAACTACCCTTAAGAAAAGTGGATGATTCGAGGCTTTATGTGACAGTATGGTAAATTTCTCGTTATTTATGTTACTTTCTTGAAAAGTATTCCTTAACTTTTAAAAAGCTTTTGAAATAAATATTAAAATATTAATTAAAATAGTAATGGTGCATGATGATCTTTAATATAATTCGGATATTGCCCCATTAGCCATATGGGGTACCAGCTGTGTTTTCACATTTACAGGGCAGTTGATGTTACTCCAAGTCTGTCATGAATTCAACACCTTGGTCAGAGCTTGCAAAATTTAGGAAGCCTTAGCTGGAAGTGGTGGGGCGTGCCTATGATCTCAGCACTCTGGGAGGCTGAATGAAGCAGGAGGATTATGAGTCTGAGCCTTGCCTGGGCAACTTAGTGACTTCGCGAGCCCCGTCTCAGTGTAAAGGGTAAGATGGACTGGGGTCAACTCAGTGAGAAGACTTTGGTTCAATCCCCAGTAATGCCAAGAAGACCAGTATTTCTTCTTTATGGTGTTTGATATCCTGGCAGAGATTAAAAATAATGCACATGATTATAACACTAGGCGGATGGAAGAGAGCATAGCTAGTGGGGAAGATCACTGGTTTCAGGGAAGACTGACAATTTGGAAAGACAGAGAGGTTTAGGTAGGGCTTTCTGATGGCAAGAACTAAAAATGCCAAGGAATGATATAAAGGATAAATTATGGGGTGTCTCTTCTGTTCACAGTGGGAGTTTTTTTTTTTGAGACAGGGTCTCACTGTGCAGTTCAGGCTGACCTTGAAGTCACTATGTAGCCCAGGCTGGCCTCGAACTTGCAGTGATCCTCCTGCCTCAGCCTCCTGAGTGCTGGGATTAGAGGTGTGTGCCACCATGCCCAGACACAGTGGGATTTTAACTCCTGAACCTCATTAAATGGCAAACACCCTTAGAATTCTAATGCTAAAGAACATAATTTGCAAATAATTATTCATAGCTTTTTAGGAGAACATCAGTGTTCTGACTTTCCTTTCCTTTCCTCTCCCCTCCCTCCCTCCTTTCTTTCTTTCTTCCCCTCCCTCTCTCCCTCTCTCTGTCTGTTTTTGAGACAGGGTCACACTCTGTATCCCAGGCTTGCTTTGAACTGCCTCAGCCTCCCTGAATGCTGGAATAACAGGCATGCACCACTGCACCTGGCATTCTGACATTTCTTGGCTTTTGCTGTTGTTACTGTTTTGTTATTGTTGTTGTTTTTATTAAGTACAAATAGGTTAGTCTGGATGAAAAAGACTATTCATTTAATGTTCTTTTTGCTGTTTGTTTGTGTTTCAAGATAGGGTCTCACTGTGTAGCCCAAGCTGGCCTTGAACTTGCAGCAATCCTCCTAGCTTTGTTTCCTGAGTGCTGGGATTATAGGCCCAGCTACAGAACCTCTTTTCTGGCATTTTGATAGGCTTTAACCCTACTATAGTAGAACATTTTCATCTTAGAATTATGGCAGTAAATAATCAGTGTCCTTGTACATTTAGCAAATGTTTATTGAACACAAATGTTTAGGCTCTGTGGGATTTTAAAAAATCAACAAGAGTAATCCTGATTTCAGGGAGTTTATTAGAGTATAGGAACCTGGGACTCTATAGGATAGTTAAAATGTACTTAATCACAGCCGGCCAGCCGTGTGACATTTATTACAAGGCACTTGAACTCTTGTGAGAATTCAGGTGGAATAAGAGGTTATTTTGGGAGAGGCCTATCAGGTGCTTCTTCATGGCTGGTTATTAATATGTATAACAGCTTATCCATCTGTTGACTACTTGTGTTGAGAGTAAAGGACGAGATAGAAGTCAAGAATTTAGGAGGGATTCATTTTCCAAGAGAAACTGGCCTATTTGTGGAGGATAGATAATTTTTTACTTAAATTGGTGCACATGATTTTGGACATAGGCTTGCCCTGTGTCACATATATGTGACTGTACTGCTGTGTGAGTTGTTAGGGCCCAGTGTTGATTGTTAGTTACCCTTCCCGCTTTTGGTGGGAAGACCCTAGCTGCCACCCAGAAGCAGTGGTACAGTTTTGAGTAATGTCTTCCCTGAAAAGGGAAGGGCAGAAACCAAGTGTCAGATGATTTTGGCTACATAACTTAAACATTTTTAGGGTGTTCATCTGTAAAATGAAGTTCTTTTTAGATTTTATTTATTTATTTTCTTGATACTAGGAATCGATCTCAGGTCCTTGGGCTTGCAAGGCAGGCGGCAGAACCACTGAGCTAAATCCCTGGTTCTTGTAAAATGAAGTTCTTAAGTTAGGTGCTGAGTATTTAGACCTTGAATAAGCCTTATATGGATCTTAGAGATTTTGGGAGGCTAAAAGAGAAAACGGAGCAGAAAGGAAGAGTGGACAGTTTGGAAGTTGTCAGTCTCGGAGTTGTGGATCCTTGGGTCCTGAGCACCTGGCTGCCTGGGACACTTGCAGCCCATGGGGGTGGGGCTGGGATGTGTTCCAGGTTCCTCAGGCCACCCTTTCCTCCCCTCAGCATCTGTACACCTTTAGTTACTCTTCTTAGGATTTGGGGAATTAAAAAGATTCTTGAAGTCAGATTGTCTTAACTTTTATCTTGGGAGATTTTTAGAACAAATCAGAGTCTAAGTAACCATCAAAAAGAGCATGGGATGTGGGTTAACAACCACACTGGCTTAGTGGAAAAACAAGTCATGCCTGACCTGTGTAATTTCCTCCTAAGTTGGAAGGCAAAGCTTATTTAAAAGGGGGCAACACTGGAGAATGTCTGCAATTCAGATTTAGTAAGGCTGGTCTAGCCTGCCAGTTATTTTTAAACCATGCTTGAAAGCCAGATATTTGGTAGAAATTTTAGGGTTTCAGTCTGCATTTGTAGAATTCTTTTGCATTGTGTTTTTGCTCCGGGATCCTGGTTCCTGATGAAAGAAGATGGGACCTGTGGTTGAAGGAGGGGGACACCTTCTACAGTGGCCTGGCTGTCCTTGACAGCTCGTGGGACTATGGGGGGTGTGTGCATGTGAAACCTGTCACCTGAATATCTAACTCTCAAACCTGCTCATTTCAGGAGTGCTGAGGGGTTCTGTAATGTTCCCCAATTCTAAACAGTTAAAAATTATGATGATTAGCTTAATAGCCCTTCTCTTAGAGAGGTTTGTAGGAGGGAAGGCATCTGTTGAATAGAGCCTGCCCCCTCTTGGTGAGGTGATTTGAGGGGCATAAAACACATACCCTTTTACATGACCCATTTTTCCATTTCTGCTAGATAGAGTCCTTCCCAAGAGTAATAACATTGAAGTGTGATAAAGCATTAGTGATGTTTTCCTCCTACAACTGTAGGAGAAACACAGGAAACGAGACCATAAAGGTGTTTCACAAGTGGGCATAGACAGATGTGGAAAGCATGACTGAGTTCAGGGTGCATGTGGCTTGTGTGGTAGCTGTAGTTCAAAAACAAAATGCCCGCATTTCGCTAGCAGTGACAACTCTGGTTTCGTGATATCTTGATATCTTGACTTCTTCAGTGTGGAAGAGATTCTGGTTAGCAGGAGCATGCTGCCTGCTTCCCCTTCTGTTGTGCCTTTGATGTGGCGCAATGGCCGGTGTCCAGCAAGCCCCCTTCCTTGGCTGGCTCTGACCGTAGTGCTTGTGGTAAGCATGGCCACAGTGCTGTGACTCCGGCTGCGGCAGACGCCATCCATCAGAAGGCAGCGGGTGGACCTGCTGGAGTACCACCCTTGCGCCTGCCGGGCCTTGCCCTCTCCTGGTGGAGCACACTCTTCCTTTGGCTCTTTCAGTTTTCCCTCCCAATTGCTGTCCTTTGCCTGACTGGCAGTTCTTGCTCAGCTCTGCCTTGGAGTCTTATCACTGTCACGAAGTCCCCAACTTCATGGCACTGCCTCTTCCGTCCTTCCTTGACTCAGTGAACGGGTGCTCCAGTTTTTTCCAGTTCCCTTGGAATTGGTTCCCTCAGAATCCTGTTTCCTCCATATGTACCCCATACCTAGGTTAATCAAGCTATTGGCTGTACCTTCCAGCACACCCAGCACCTGATGCTCCTCTCCTTCTCTGCTGCCCCTCCCACCCTGTGTAAGCATTGTCCTTTCCTTCCTGGGTTGTGGCAGAAGGGTCTTCCATGCTTTTGCTGCCTACATAGGTCTGGTTAAAACATAAAGCAACACCTATTGCTGAGTTGCTAGTTGCGCAGGCTGGCCTTGAATTTGAGGTCCTCCTGCCTCAGCCTCCCAGAGTGATGGGATTTACAGGCATGTGCCACCACACCCAGCTTGAATCTTCTTTACTGCCTGCTGTTCTTTAGCACCTGGAAAAGAACCTGGTGTGAAAAAGTGTTCACTAAGTTGATAAATGGGAAGGGCACTTGGTGTAACACACAACATTCTCATGTGAGCACAGTGGATACTTTCAAGAAGACCGTGTGTGGTGCTGGGGTCAGACCAGAGCCTTGTGCCTACTGGGCCTGCGCTGTCCCACTGAGGAGCATCCCAGCCCTGTCAGCGTGATTCTAAACAGTACTGTACTCATTGGCATAGGGCAGCTATTTTCAGTCATAGTTTTATTGGGCAGCTGTGGTGGTGCACACCTGTAGTCCCCATACTCAGGAGGCTGAGGGAGGAGGATTGGTGTGAGTTCAGGCCAGCCTGAACTACATAGTGAAACCCTGTCTCAAAAAACCAAAACAAACCAAAACAAAAAAGGTCAGTTTTATGGGATGGGAGTAGGGAGCCCTGGCACGATTCACAGACCTATGGCCCTGCCAGTCTGGTGTGGCCCAAGGGTGCGTGCTGATTGATGGTGTGTTGGGGTGATGCCGGCGGCGGTTCTGTGGTTTGCTGGGCTGCTCAGGCGGCAGAGACCAGAGGTACACCTCCTCCCCTCCTCACCCTGCTGGGGGGAGGTGGAGACTACACACACCAGGCCAGGGGCCCTTCCCCGGGGACTTCCTCTGCCCTTGCGTGACCTTCCTCCATGGGTGTGTTCTCAGCGTCCTTCTGTTAGACCAGGGCCTCAGTCTTCTTTTTGTTGTATGTTTATAGTTTAAGTTTAACTGACTGATGCGTAAAAACATTACGTTTGAGTTTCTGGGTACCGTGTGAACTTTGACGCAGACAGGGCTGTGTGGTGTTTAAGTGGAGTCACATGTCTTTCCTCAGATGTGCACCGTGTGTTGTGGGACGTTCAGATGCCTTCCTCCAGCTTGTGACTCGCACAGTGCGTTTTTGTGGGCTGTACTCCTGCTGCTGTGCAGGGCCTGTCAGGCTTTCTGCTCCTGTGGGACTGTGTGTGACTTAGTACTGGGCCCTCCCGGACGCTTCTCGGCTTTACGGCCTTAATCACCACCTCGGAGGTCAGGGGCTGGAGTTTTCACCTGAGGGTTTTGAGTAGACACATGTTGTTTCACAACACATTTAGCGCTTTGAGCTGGTCCTGAAACTGAAAGTTGGGACCCTGGTGACAGCACAGGATTGATGTGTCTGCCCTGCTTCATGAGCTGAGCTCAGCTTTGGCTTGAAGCAGGCATCTCTGTAAGAAAGTGCTAATATATAGACAGATGACTAATATCAAAGATCTAAATATTAAAACAGAAACACTAAACTTGCTGGAAGATTGGCACAGGAAAAGACTTTATGAACAAATCCTCAGTAGCATGGGAACTAGCACAAAGAATCAACAACTTGGATTTCATCTTTTTAAAAAGCTTCTGCACTGCAAGAGAATCCACGAACAGTGCTAAGAGACAACCTACAATGTGGGAAAAAATTTTTACCAACTGTTCCTCAGATGAATGACTACTATCTAGAATATATAAAGAATTTAAAAAATTCAGACCCACTGAATTTAAAGTCCCAATTCAAAAATGGACATCTGAAATAACAGACATTTGTCAGACAAAGAAGTAAAAGCAGCAAATGAACATGAAAAAAATGTTCAACATCACTGGTCATTTGAGAGATGCAGGTGAAAAACTACCCTGAGATTCCACCTCACCCCAGAAGAAATGGCTGCTATCAAGAAATCAACTAATAACAAATGTTGGCAGGGTTGTGGGGAGATAGGAACCCTTCTCCATTGTTGGTGGGAGTGCAGTCTGGTGCAGCCACTGTGGAAATTGAAAGGTAGATACCGTAAACAACTAGGACTAGAAGTCCCATTTTATCCAGCTGTTCCCCTGCTGAGTATCTTCCCAAAAGAATTAAAAGCATCATACCACAGTGCTATATGCTCACCCATGTTTATAGCAGCAGTTTGTAATAGCTAAAGCTTGGAAACAGCCCAATTGCCCATCAACTAGTGACTGGATAAAGATGTGATTTTTTTTTTTCTCTGAAATGTTATAGTCAGTTTATTAAGTTCAGTGGTGAAAGTTATCAGAAGACTATTCTCCTGAAAGTTATTTTTTTCTTAGGGGGGAAAAAAAGAAAGAAAGGAACTTAAAATCCTCTCAGCACAGCCACAGATGCTGTGGCTGACGAGCTTTCCAGAGATGGTGCATCAGTCCTCTGAGTCACTCCCTGGGCCAGCAGGGTTGTAGTCTGGGTTGTCCTCAACATCCTCCAGCTCCAAGTCACCCGTCTCCTGGAACAAAGATTCATCTACTTCACATTATTTCCACCATCCTCCAAGAACTGGGTATCAGGTGTGTCAAGGTTATGATCGGTTTCAAACAGCTGTTTGCCACTTAATTTATTTTTTCCTGCTTTCATCTGTTTCCTTTTAATTTCTAGGAGTTCTGCATCAAACTTGGCTTTCCTACCTATGAAATTCTCAATTGTAACAGGGGTGCCGTGGAACAAGTGCTTCTCTGCTTCTGTTTCTTTTTCTTTTAGTTTCTTTTCTTCCTCTCTTCTCGTTTTTATCTGATCTACTATTTCATTTAATTTTTCTTTCACTGCTGTCACTAGAGTAAAGATCATGATCACACCAAGATTTTCCTCAGCCTGTAATGTTAGTAATTTAAAAATGTCTATGACATCATTATCTTCTAGGTTTTCCTGGGAAAAATATTTCATAAATAGGAGCTTCATCTGGGTATTTTTCACTGTATGTAAACTTGAGGGTGGTCTGGACAGTTTCATCAATTTCTCCAGCCTCAGATGTCACAGTGATGGTGAAGCTAGGTGGATTTTCTGATAGATAATACTGAAAAGTATTGGCCATAACTCCAGAGTTGCTGTGAAGGAGTTGGGGTAGATGGACTCCAGGGCCTCCAGCTTGTTCTGCTGCTCCTTGCCATAGTCTGTCATCAAGGAACTATTCTCCTGAAAGTTATTTTTTTCTTAGGGGGGAAAAAAAGAAAGAAAGGAACTTAAAATCCTCTCAGCACAGCCACAGATGCTGTGGCTGACGAGCTTTCCAGAGATGGTGCATCAGTCCTCTGAGTCACTCCCTGGGCCAGCAGGGTTGTAGTCTGGGTTGTCCTCAACATCCTCCAGCTCCAAGTCACCCGTCTCCTGGAACAAAGATTCATCTACTTCACATTATTTCCACCATCCTCCAAGAACTGGGTATCAGGTGTGTCAAGGTTATGATCGGTTTCAAACAGCTGTTTGCCACTTAATTTATTTTTTCCTGCTTTCATCTGTTTCCTTTTAATTTCTAGGAGTTCTGCATCAAACTTGGCTTTCCTACCTATGAAATTCTCAATTGTAACAGGGGTGCCGTGGAACAAGTGCTTCTCTGCTTCTGTTTCTTTTTCTTTTAGTTTCTTTTCTTCCTCTCTTCTCGTTTTTATCTGATCTACTATTTCATTTAATTTTTCTTTCACTGCTGTCACTAGAGTAAAGATCATGATCACACCAAGATTTTCCTCAGCCTGTAATGTTAGTAATTTAAAAATGTCTATGACATCATTATCTTCTAGGTTTTCCTGGGAAAAATATTTCATAAATAGGAGCTTCATCTGGGTATTTTTCACTGTATGTAAACTTGAGGGTGGTCTGGACAGTTTCATCAATTTCTCCAGCCTCAGATGTCACAGTGATGGTGAAGCTAGGTGGATTTTCTGATAGATAATACTGAAAAGTATTGGCCATAACTCCAGAGTTGCTGTGAAGGAGTTGGGGTAGATGGACTCCAGGGCCTCCAGCTTGTTCTGCTGCTCCTTGCCATAGTCTGTCATCAAGGCCCTGGCCGCCGCCCATGGATCCTGCTGCCCCTCAGGCAGTGCGCCTTAGCCGAGTGGCAAGACCTGTGATTTCTTTTTAATAACCAATAAAGAATGAGAAACTAGTGTCATTTATAGCTAAATGGATGCACATTGAGGCCATCCTCTTAAGTGAAATAAATAGGACACACTTGTAAATATTGCATTGTTTCTCTGGTGTGAGAAACTGAAAGTGTGAACAAGAATCAAAATGTATACTAGATAATGTGAAACAGGAAGAAAAGGTCTAAAAGGAAGGAAGAAGTGGGAGGAGTAGGGGAAAGGAAAGAAGGGAAAGGAAAAAAGGGAAACAAAATCTTTCTAAATAGGGAGGGATGGAAGGATTGAAGGGAGGGCATGGGAATGGGGAAAAAATAATGACCAGGATCTGTCTAAAGGTACGAATTCCCAATGATGAAGGTCAGCATATTGTACACCTAAAATGTACCAATAAACTTAATTAAAAAAAACTGGGCTGTGACAGATTTTATATAGGTATAGTTGAAAGTCTCATTTGGCCATTAAAAGCAAAACCATAAAGAACAGCAGATGTTCTGTTTTTAAAAAATTAATGTAATGTCTGAATTACCAGAAACTTTCCAGCCATGCATGGTGTCACACATCTGTAATTCCAGTACTTGGGAGGCCAAGGCAGGAAGATTGCTGTGAGTTCAAGGTCAGCCTGGACTGCATAGAGAGGGAGAGACCTTATCACAGAAAAAGAAAAGAAAAAAATAAAAACAAGAAACTTTCCACTGTCATGACCAAATACCTGAGTGAAACCACTGAAGGAGGGAAGGCTGATTTAGGCTCCTGCTTTGGAAACCTGTGGTTCACGTCAGTGGCCCAGTGCTGTCAGGCCTGTGGTGAGGCGGAAGGATGAGCGCTGGGAAGCTGCTCACCTCCTGATGGCTGGGAAGCAAAAGAGCCAGAGAGAGGGGGCAGGGGCAAGGTCTCCGCCCCCTGGGTGGCCCTACTTCCCAGAAGCCCCAGCTCTGCTCTGACCACTTGATGAGAGGCCACTCCCAGTCCAGTCAAGGTGACTACTAGCAAGGTCAGCTGTCAGTCACACGAGGAAGGGAGCAGCTGCCAGAGCCAGGGTTTTGGCTGTGGACTAATGGAACTGTGACTTTTCTTTCTAGCAGTATTAGTGTCATCTGCATGTGATTTGTGTACAGAAAAATGGCAGTTTTCTGAAAATGGTATGGCTGATACCTATCTTGTGTGTTGTTTTTCAATTTGAATCTTGTGCCTTCCTTTTATAGATGAGGAAGAAGGATTAGCAAAGGACACACAGCTAGACCTGTGACAGAATTAGAACAAACCCAGGCTTCCAAGCTTTCATTTTTTTCTTCTTTTTAAAATTTAAAAAGTTATATATATTCTTGGGCTGGGGATGTAGCTGAGTGGCACTGTGCCTGCCTGGCAGCACAGGGTCCTGAGTTTGATCCCTGGTACTGAAAACACACACACACACACACACACACACACACACACACACAGTGTTGTGTGTTAGAAATGTAAAATTATCCGTACTTGTACAAGAGTGGCACCCAGAGATGAAATGCCTTGAAAATGCTGGTGGTAGCTGGGTCAGAGGCTCAGGGGAGGCTTATCTAGTGTTGGTTTCATTGTGTGCACTTGTCCTTATTTTCTTGTGTGAATTTTGAGTGGTTATTTTTCTAAGAACTTCTCTTTTTGTGCAGATTTTCAAATTTATGAATGTGAAATCATTCACAGCTGTCTAATCTTTTTCAGGCCTGCAGCATCTGGAGTGTTGCTGCTATTCTGATTACGCCAGTGGATGTTTGTGTCTTTTTCTTTCTCTTCTGCTGAGGTTGTTACTGACTTTATTGATCTTTTTGAAGAATCTTCTTTTCTTTTTTTTTCTTCCTATACTAGGGATAGAACTCAGGACCTTGTGCTTGTCAGGCTGCTGAGCTACATCCCCAGCCCTAAAAGAATCTTTTAAATGCTACTAGTTTTCTCTATTGTGTATTTATTTTCTATTTCATTAACTTTGTTATTTCCTTCCTGTACATTACTTGGATTAATTTTTCTGTCTTCACCCTAACTTGTTGAGATTTTTGCCTGTCTTTTAGACTTTCTAACATATGTATTTAAGAATATAAAAAATAGTATGTGGCCACTGTCATACAAGGGATGATGAAAATATGGTGACTGTTTAAAAAAATAATTACTGTGAGACACATTGCCAATAATCCCCCTGAAAGTACCCCTTTTCTCCCTCGAAACACACTCATCCTGTTGCTCTTGCCACTCTCTGAAGCAGTTCTGGAAGTCTTCTTTCCTGAGTGTCTTAATTTAAAAGTGTGATAAAAAATACGGTGAGTGTGACTGCTGAGTCCCGTCCAGTGGAAAGGCAGGCTTGTAAAAATATCACAGTGTGTCCTTGTCCACCTTGTTCACCGGATCTGGCACAGAGAAACTTCCCAAAGCCCTTTCCCAAAGTCAAAATGACCACGAGAGATGTGAACATTTTGAATTGGTGAAGGATATCAAGGCAGCCAACACAGAGCAACTCAAGACACTCAGGAAAGAGTGCTCCAGGACTGCTCCAGAAAGTGGCAAGAACCATGGGATAAGCAAGGGGTGAAAGTTTTGAGGGGAGATTAATTGCAATGTAATTTTACTGTAATACATTTCTTAAAACAAAAACAACACCCCACAACATTCACCTACTTTTTTTTTTTTTTTTTTTTTTTTTTTTTTTT